GTGTCAGCTGTGGAAAGAAACTGGAATTTTAGCTATTTACAGAGAGAGAGAGAGAGAGAGAGAGAGAGAAAGTTAAAAAAAAGAGCTGAGCACTAGCAATACAAAATGATTCAACCTGACGCTTCCATTGAGCTTCCCACTCTTTATCTCAGTGGTCCTTTGTCTACTTTTTCTGATAAAAGTAGCCTCCTGTTGGCGTATTCCTCATAAAGAAGATGTTCATATTCACATTATAATATAACGATCCAAATTGGGCTTTTTTGTCTTTTATCCTGACAGACCTTAGACCTTAGATGTTGACATCATATTGTCTATACCTAACCACATTAAAGCACAAATCTTGCCATACAAATAAATTAGTTAAAAACTATCATTAACTATTGACAATAACCTGACAATTGTTGTTGTGTTAATGGTAGTACCAATGAAAATAACCCTAAACTTTTCTTTATACCAAATTATATATGACTGCAATCAATGAAATCTTATCTTCGCTAATAATGACATCCATGGCAGCTTACAGTATAGATAGTGAGTTTAGAGTTGCTGCAGTATTTATGACGACATTGTCAGCAGGAGGCAGGTAAAACTATTCTGTGCCTCTTTCAAATAAAGTATAACGGCATTGTCTTTTACAGACAAGATTATATGGGGAGCAGCAATAATGCTAACTTTGAGACCAACGAAAATGGAGTCCCACAAAATTTAGTAAATCTCATCGAGTTTAGCCTGATCATTAAATACAGTGGTCAATGTAGACCTATCTCTACAACCAATCCCTCCTAAGGAAAGTGAAAATGATGCCTAGAAGGTGTTCCACATGATTCATGAACTGATAAAGATGGGTAATTTTATTAGGTGGCAAACATCCCATGCTTGTTTGATTATATTTTATATAACAATTATTGGCTACTGAGGACTTAATTGAATAAATTGAAAGTTACAGGTTTGCCTAGCAAACCCAAAACTTTGAGTTAAAGGGCTGCTTTTTTTGAAACCACTAGCTGGAGATTCATGAGGTGGCATAGACAGATTCCACCAACGAAATTAGCCCCTAGTGGTATAGGAGAATCATGGGTTACGATCACAACACGATATACTCCTCATATGCAGTTAAACATATAGGGTCGCTGATGGATGAATTGCAAAATTATTTTATGGTACAATTGACAATAAGATCTGTCGAGTTTACAACAAAATTTTTATAAATAGTTAGTTATGAATATAAGTATCAGTATCATCTAACAATTTGGAATGTTCAAAAATCTCTGCTGACTGCTGCCAACCTTAACCCTCTTGTAATTGCACCAAACCAGAAGTCCTTCTTTAGTTCGTATCTGCACTCCGGATTGACCTGCAAAGCTCCGAGGTGGGTTCTCGGGGTAGACACTCCAATGCTTAAGTCAACAATAATCGGGACTACCTTTAGAGCGGAGATAAAAGGAGCTTAGGGTTGGTTTCAATTACCTTTAGACGTGGCTCGTGGGGGGTATTTATAGGATCCAATGAGGAACCCACGTGGCATGCCAAGTAAGATAATAGGAGCCTGACGTGTCTATCCAGACATTATTCCGGGACCGGGAATTTGAGAGGTATTCAGATGCAAAGATGTTCGCCATAACTGCTGTGCAGCTCATCATAAGGAATCAGGTGCGAGCATGCTTATTGTCGCTGTCATGCAACTATTTGAGCGGGAAGCTTTGGATTTAGCCTTCACTTCGGTCATAAAGGAATTACTGTAGC